CAGCATCGTTTCCCATGTGAGAACAGGCCCAGCAGCAGGGTCCCGACATCCACCTCAGCGCCGGCGGGCAGCGTGGCGGCGGCAGCGTCTCCCGGTACCCAGCAGCGGCGCGCCAGCAGCGGCAGCGCGGAGCCCAGATTCTCCCCTGACTGCACCTACGGGATCAGCTCAGGTGGGTTTTCAAACTTGTTCAGAGTGAGTGATGAGAGTTGTTTTTATTCGTTTGGACTACTTTTCTGGTGTCCTGAGATTGTCCAGATTCTGGTGCATATTTTGGATTTTAGCTGCTCAGATATATGAGCGTAAAGTCAATAAACTTGGATGGGAGGCAAAACAATATGCCATTAAACGCGAGCATCTCTTTTGTTTGCTGTACATCACCTGAGCTTCGTGTTTTTGTTCCCATTTCTTCCTCTTTCTCTTCCTGTCAGCAGTGATTGATTTGCTGCTGTAATGAGAGCAGTCATGATTGAATCTCCAGTGTGCATGTGCTAAAAATTACATTGGGTAATTGTCTGTGTGTGTGTGTGTGTGTGTGTGTGCAAGAAGGGCCCTCACAATCTCCGGTTGAAACACATTGTTCATTTTTCTCCTCAGCTGCTCTTCATTAGAGGGCTGTGCAGTCTCAGGAAGAAATGTGCTCCTAGTGTGGAGGGCGGGTCCATGGGAACCAACATTAAGATGAAAGCAATGAACCTAATCCTGGCAGTTATGAAATTAAACATTAGACATCTCATCCTCTAATCAGATATTAATCTCTTTATCACCGCTGGCAGCACAGGCTCAATTTGCTGCTGGTTATTGTTACTTTACAGACAATCAAGTGTTCAGGCTGAGCTCAGGTTGCACTGTAGCCCTATAATAACTCACCTACATGAGAACTGGCAAATGTGTGCATGAAGTATTACAGGTTTGATCTTCAATGTGTGAAAGTCTGCCTGATTCCTTGTAAGTATAACGCCCAGGTTTCAGGGATGATGGCCCATTGTTTGCATCTATTCTGGCATGCACGTGGTCCTGATTTCACTTATGAAATAATCAAACAAAATTATATTTCCCCTGCTTCAGTGAATCTACCCATATTACACAAGATGTATCATCCAATCCCAGCTAAACGTGCCGTGCATTTTTACTGATAATGACACATCAAAGTGCTTTTATCTGCACGGCAGGAGCAACTTAATGTCCCTCTCAGGCCTGGAAAGAAAAAAAAACTTGATGCCCTTTTCATGAGGAGAAGCACCAGAGACCCCTGGGCCTCAGCAATCAGTTCAGCACACAATAACACAAATTGCATTGAGAAGCCTTTCCCAAAGAGTTGTGATTAAAATAAATGGGGCTCATAAATTTGCCTCTGCCGAGCGTGTTGTTTTTAATGAAATTTTATGAGGCTCTCAGCTCACGGTGCCACAGAACTGGTGAGCGAAGAGAGTGGGGTGGTGGTGGTAGTGGGGAGTGGGTGGGTGGTGGGAGGAGGGGGTGCAGGGTGAAGGCGAATGATATCAGATACATCTCGACGGGTAAACAGAGACAGCACGCATATTAATAAATGCGACACATCTGCGCCAGGCTGATAGACACGTCTGAGCGAGTGGCAACGCAGCAGTGGCCGCCTAGAACTCATTTTGCCTGTGTGTATATTTGTGTGTGTGTGTGAGTGTGAGGCCACTGATAATCATTACATGGAGGTATGTGTGAGATCATCTCATTGAGACGTGCTCAGACTATCAGGGAAACTATACACTGAGGCTTGTTTCTGGACAATGGCTCTGTGCTGATTTCCTTTGCTGTGTTTGGTCACAGCAGATACTGTGAGTTTATTGACATCTGAATAAATCAACATATTCAAGCTGACATTTCTATGAACAGAGGTGCCAACTGTATGTTACCGTTATGGAGAGCTTTGCCACAATAACACGCTGAACAAGAAAGAAAAAGGGAGGCCCAAAGAATCACACAACCATTTATATTGTTTCCAGAAGTGTGTATGCTCTGTATGATCACTCAAGTACTGTACTACTGAGGTACTAGTACTTCACATTCTATTTTCTGCTACTTTCTGCTTTTACCCAGGGAAATATACCCTGTGGTTTACTACAGGTTGTGCTTTAAGTTTTTAAAGTAGAATGCATTGTTAAAAATAAAACCAGTACTAGCCACCTTTATGGTTTGTGACCTCTGCACAATAAAGCAATTGAAGCCCCTTTCTCACATTTGAAATGTTTATGACTTGTCAGTTCCACTACAGAAAATGTCCCCTCTAAACTTCTCAGATGGCTTCATTAAACATGTTTTTAAGGCCCAAAGACGTCAAATGATACCATATTTTACAATAAAAGCAAAGATTCAAAAATATGAATAAAGAGTTGTGTAGTAAAATCTTCTCTTTTTTCTGACTTTTCCACTGTCTGACCCCGAGATCAAAAACCTGGACTAAACAACTCTATACAAAGCAGTTACAACCAGCTCGACCTCAACCAGCTGTAACAATAAAATGCTGCTTAGACACTGATGGATCTATATGAACAACCCTAATAATGTCACAGGGGGCACATTTCTTCACTGTTACTTGTGATACTTTAAGTACACTTAATACATTTAATACTTCAGCACTTGTTGATACTTTTCCTAAAGTAAACCACTCTGATGTAGTGAAAAGAATGATCTCTATTAAAGCCAGATGATAGATACAGTCGCTGTTGTGGAGCTTTTGACTGCATCACATGGTCTTTGTCAGCCGATTGAGTTTGCTTGGAACTGTAGATATTAAAACTTTCCAAGATCCTGAGCAGCTCGAGGACTTCTCACCCATGTTGAACATCTGCTGTTCTATGGCAATGGACCAACTCATTCTGCTGCTATACAGTCAAAAGCTCCAGAATAGTTACTTAATGGACTGTGGTGAGATTATTTAGAGATAATAATCAGAGATTATATTTGCTGCACTGAAACATTATTTCAGTTCGCTATAAAGTGAAACAATATGAGTGACTCTGTGTTCACTGGTTTTGGTTCTTTATGCCTCCTTTTTTCCTTCTTTCCTTCACATGGAAACTGAGCAGACTGGTGAGGACCATGTGATATAAAAGCTCCAGAACAGCTATTAAATAGATCTTGAGGTGAACTGCTGTTTCAAAGCTCAAAAGTTTGTCTATGAACGCAGTAGATTCTGTGATTCTACAGCAGGGACTGACCTGCAGAGTGGCTCTGACCTTTTGTCTTTCCTTCTCTCCGTCACAGAGAATCGTCTCATCCTGGATGCCTTTGCCCAACAATGTAGCCGAGTCCTCAGCCTCCTCAACAACGGCCGTCTCCTGGAGCCCTCCTCCTCCTTCACCTCTAACATCAAGCTGGAAGACGGGCCAGAGGAGGTACAGGGGCTTCACTGCTCCTCACTGGGGAAGTCCAAACCTGAAGAGAGCTCTTCCACCACAGACCCAGAAGAGGAGGCCCAACAAAGCCATTTGAGCCAACAACAGACCTCTGCCGTTCTCCGCATCTTCACAGACTCCCTACAGAACTATCTGCTCTCAGGGCCTCAGCAGCAGCAACATCTGGCTGTGGGTCTGGAGGATGAGCAGTGTCCGTTGGCTGAGCCCGGTTCTGGGGTGTCTCCTCCGAGACACAACCTGGGGGGCTGGGGTTCGCCGACTCCGTCAGAGTCGTATGGCCACCCGTCGTCCACGCTGCCTGAGGAAGAAGAGGAGGAGGAGAACTGCTGTCCGCGCTGCCTGGAGTTGGAGCAGGAGGTGCTATCTCTGCAGCAGGAGAACGAGGAGCTCCGCAACAAGCTGGAGAACATCCCAGGTGCAGTAATGAAAGCCAGGATGTCAAAGGGGTTTGATTTGAATTCATACTTGTGTTGGTATAGATTGGTGACAATTTAAAGGTGCTGTTCCACTACGAGCTACCAGAACAGCTTCTGTGCCACAGATTCTTTACAGCTCTGGAGCTTCTAAAAGATACTTTCCTGATTTGGTGGTCAGTGGCAGATTTTTAAGATTTGGGGGGCCAAGGCAACTCTGGCATGTGCCTCATTTTGACCCTTTCTCTAATTCAGGGGTCTCATACCTCCGGCCTGGGGGCCATTTCCAGCACTTCAACCTGTGACAAAATATAATGTAATCCTGTCGCAAGATTATATTTTTTAAATTAATTTTTCTAGTTGTTTTATATTGATATAAAGTACCCCTTCATATACCATTAAAATAAAAACACAATTCTATTTAAAAATATTTATTTAGTTTTGCAGAAAATAATGTCAAAGGTGGCAGCAAATGCGAGGAAATGGTTGATAAGGAGAGAGCAGGTTTGAGGCCTTCATCTTTGTTTGGCTGCGAAGAACAAAGATTATAGAAAAAAAAAATTTTGTACAATGTCAGTGAAACAATCTGCCTTTAATTATAAAATGAATTAGTCTGTACACATAAATGAGTAGCTTCATAGTTTCCCCTCCTCTGCAGCATATTGCCTATTTTCCTCCCTGCAGCCATGAAAATTAGTCTGAGGAGCAAATCATTTATTTATGTGCTAGTACCTGTTTTTAGTTATCAAATGTCTATTGTAGTAATTATTAGAAATAATTTATATTTTATGCCTCCATCCTGTTTTAAACAAGGGTGGCTCCCTGCATGAGGAATTTGTGATAAAAAATCTAAAACAGTGTTTTTGTACAAACCCTGTTGCAGCTTCATAATAAATTATCTTAACTGCTGAAAATTACTGTAATATACCTGTCACTGTCCTTTATAATCCTCAGAGTGCAATCTAAAGTTTAAAACTGAAGTTAAACCTTGTTAGTTAAGTAAAATACAGCACAAATTTTCTGTGTGCACTCAAATAATTACGATTTGCCTTTCAGTGCTTAAAATAATACACTCTTATACACAAAATCTGAAAATTGGTTCAACATAAAATATTAGTGATCACTGCCTTCAAAATTTAAGTTATTTCAATTACTGAATAGTTTGTGTACAGTAATGTTAGTGTGAATCAACTACAAAAAAACTCCAGCTAGTTAAGCTTACCTACCAGTAATGTTTATTTTTTCCTGGCAATTTCAAGTCTGATCCATCTTGCACTGCAGCTTCTGCTGAAATGTCACATTCAGGATCAGCCTCCTGGTTTTAATATGACCATTTAGAGATTTGTCAACATCAAACCAGGATCGATAGAAACAACACAACGATCCAGCAGAGAGAAATGCCCTCACTGAACTATTAGACACATAAAGATGCTTTGGTTCATTACTTGCAACTGGGTGTTAAATGGTTTGTTTCCGTTTAAAAAAAGTATGTATTGGGATTATGTACATTGTGCTCTTGTAATTTTCATACAAGGCATTGAAAAACGTGCCTTTTGAGTTGTTGAAATATTTCAGTCTGGAGCAAAAAGTGGTGGACAAAATAAAAAATATAAAATGACTAGAAAAGTTGATCAATAGGGACAATTTTATGTAGATAGATTAATCGACTATAATATAAGATATAATAAACTAACTATTCAAGCTCTTTCTCTTGTCACCTGTCTGTATCAGAGAAAATAAGCTGAAAATGTTTTCTGATCAAAAAGGCCAGCATTAATCAGTACCAAACCCACATATCCATGTAGTTTGTCAATATTAGACCTCAATAATTTGGGTTAAATTTCTGTGTATCATCAGTTTCAGAGAGCCACAAGCTCTCACTACATCTAAATGCATCACAGTTTGGGGCAACAGTCCTAATAGCATCTATTTTTGATAACTTCCCTGCTCTCCCCAAAGCATTATGAGCTCCCCAGTGTCCCCTTAACCTAATTTACACTAAACGGCTCATTTTATCTGCACATATCTCAATTTAAAATCACTAAACATTCAATTTAAAATGATCTTTTAAGGAGATATTGGAGGTTTTTATTATTGTTTGATTATATACCAGATGAGTCGTCTATTTACTAATGTGTTTGTATGACTGGTCACATTTTTGTACAGTTCCCTGTCAAAATGCTCTTGACTACTTCAAGACTGTTCTTGAGTTTCACAACCAGCTGGTGCAGCCGATGCCAGAGGAGCAGCTCACAGAGGTGAGAAAACTGGCTCATGTACATTATTCACAGTTATTTACAGCATGTGTTATAAGAAGAATATTTTAAGTTCTAAAAATATATCCTGCATTAAGTTCTTCATTGTGTTAATTGGGTGTGAAAATGTGAAATTAAAGAATACTCTCTCTACAGGAAGAAGAACGACAAACAGTCTTTGAGGTTTGTGTTTTTATTAAAGCCTATAATAATTGTTGTTTTTTAACACTGTCAAGGATATTTTTTGTGTTTATTCTTGCCTGTAAAACCAACAGAAAAAGGTGGTGCATTAGTGAAATCGACACCAGATGTTGTGCACACAGAAAGAACCATCCATTACTTTAGTTAAAATAAGATGCATCTTAAAGGTTAAAAGTCAGTTTCAAAGCTGTCAAAACTTTAGACAATGCAGTCGAATCTGGAATAAAATAAGCTGCATGAGCAGTTCAGTTCCTGATGCAGTACGACTATGAACATACCTAAACTCCCTGTCTTCCTCCTCCCTGAAGGGCAGCAAACAGCTCCTGGAGAACTATCCTCTCTTCATCACTAATAAGCAGTGGGACGAAGCCGTCAACTCCTCTAAGAAAGATGGCAGACGGCTGCTGCGCTACCTGATTCGCTATGTCTTCACCACGGACGAGCTCAAGTTCTCCTGCGGTTTGGGCAAAAGGAAGCGTTCAGTCCACTCAGGAGATCCAGGCTTGGAGAGACGGCCGCTAAACCCCGTCAAAGTCAGCTGCCTCAGAGGTACACGGCCTGAAAAAGTAGTATCTGCATTATGCTTCAGTCCCACTCAGTGTGAATGTGAAACAGTGGTAGAACAGTGGTAGTACACATACAGCTCTGGCAAATGTCAGCATATAAAATTCAGAGTTGTTTGAATGATTTATTACCATACTTATTAGAGAACTCTATTCCTATGACCCATGTTTCAGAATTGAAAAGCAGCAATAGCTCTCAAGTGAGCTCATTATTAATGGGCTCGTAACAATATGAGTTATATGTTCATGTAGCGAGCAAATGGTTTTGGTTCACATTTGGCACAGATATGATTTTTTTAACGGTATGAAAACATAAAATATTAAAATTTCATTATCTTATCATTATATCCGGCCTGAGATCTGACACAAATCCAATTTGTGGTTATGTGATTTCAGTTATAACCAATCAGATCATGTTTTCTTCTTATTTCCTTCAGCACTTGATTTCTGTTACTTAACACTATTTTATTCTACGTAAGACATAAAAAGACCATTGTTTGCCTCTTCATCATCTCACCAACTATCATCCAAATTCTACCCTTGAGCTGAACGCTTGCACCACTATTTCATTTCTACCTCGAGCTGTCTCACACACTGATTATTTTAAACCTGCAATAATTGATTTTCTTAATTTACTTTTTTTGTCTCTTGGGGGCAGCGGAAATAAGCTGTTAAGACAATAGTGACATATCATCCCAATATCAAAACAGTAAAGGTGTGCTAAACAATGAGTTCAAACTGTCTGTGACAATGCTTAGAGCCGAGGGGAACCGCAGATTCAGGTGATAACTGGTGACTGTGAAGGCCACAGCATATGATCATTTTTATTTTCATTAAACCATTCAGGAACCCCTTTTACCTTGTGTGGAAGCATCTAAAGTCATTGTGTTTCTACACTGTAGGGCTGTAACTAACAATTACTTTCATTATCAATTATTCTGCCATTTATATTCTTAATTAATTGATCCACTGTTAAAATATCTTCAAATGTCAGTTATTTGACTAAAAATAGATTTAGTGTACTATCTTGTATGACAAAGAAAAGCAGCAAATATTCACATGTGAAAAGCTGGAAGCAGTGAATACTTCACATTTCTGCTTGAACAAGAGTCTACAGCCATGCTGTAATCAGGCACAGTGGTGCATTGAGCTGTTAAGCAGGTATAATATCTATAAGTTCATCACTATAGGTGACTTTAATATTGTCATTGCATACATTGTAACGGATGTTGTTTAACTTTGAAATATGGAGTTGAGACAGAAAGATCAGGTCTATGTAATATTTAAGATTGAGCATTGATAGTCCCACTATCATGGTATTGTGTGACACATGTACAGTGAAGTTCAAAATGATTAGATCACAAATATGATACAGAACACATGGTGCCCCCCCTCGAAACCTCATTCCCGTTGAACCCTCTTAAAAATTAAGGCTTGCTTTGATTTCCAATAATACAACTTTGATTTCTAATCTTTTTTTTTATTTAAAATCTCCCCGATAGAATTCATCCGGATGCACTGTGCCTCAAACCCGGACTGGTGGATGCCCTCAGAGGAGCAGATCAACAAAGTGTTCAGCGATGCCGTCGGTCACGCTCGTCAGGGCCGAGCGGTCGGCACGTTCCTGGGCAGCAGCGGCAGCAGCACCAGCAGCCTCTACATGGACGCCTTTGATGGACATCTGTCGCAGGACGAACTGTATTTAAAAGGCTGCCAGAACGGCCAATCGGACTGATGTTGAAAGGAGGAATTAAAAAGACAAATGCCGGAAATGTAGCTGTACAACAACATATCCCAAAACACTGACCTTATCCTGTCACTTTACAAAGTGAAGAAAACATTCCAGAAGTTTATCAAACAGAATATAACACAGTCACTCTGAAGCAGTTTCTCTTTTTAGTTTTCTAGCTTTTTTTGCCATTTTTATACCTACAACTTTGTTTAGTCAAAATTTGACTCCAAACGGGTGTTTTAAACACAAAATTTTAGTCTTCCATTTGCTACGTTTTCTATGGTTTGTTGTTTTGATCGTTATGTCACTATCAGTGGAATATTTCTGTTCTGTGTTTTGGGATGGAGTCCCAGTGAATGTTTTCACACTTTACATGCATACCTTAATCAGGAAGCTATTTGTGTTAATGTTGCCCAAGTTAGAGACTTATTACAGCCATCACACACCCTCCATCACGGAAAGTAGCATTTAATAGGTTTCTGCAAAATTCTGCATCATTGGCGAAGCACCTTTACTTGCAACCCCTCTACAGGAGTGCCTCTGAAAATGTCATGTTTTGTTACCTGTAGTCTTGCACTTTGCATCCCTGTTTTTTCTTAATTTAAATTTATTCTGATGTTTTATTAAGTGAATTCAAACACAAAGTCTTTCCAATGTGCTAAAATGCAGCTTCACTTGGGTTGAAAGAAGTTTTGGTCAAAGCTGGCCCTGGTTTCAATTTCCTACAGCAGATTTCAGGATATGAAAAATGTATAATTAGGCACACAGACAGCCACCCACAATGTTGTATTCACAACTCTTTAAAACTGACTAATTACATGATTGTAATTACTTTCCAGTACAACTTCCACCAAAGTCAAGTTCGATAACTGGCCCTGCAAAGGTTTTTACACCTGCAAAGGTTTCACACGTCTCCTTAATGTGTTTGAAATATTATATGGCAGCAATATAATGCTGATATTTGTTGAAGATTGATTTTAATTATTAAAATGCAGATTTGCAGAAAAAAACAACACAAGGGATAAACAATCAATAAGATTTTATTTTATTCATCCTCATGCAAAAAGTCTGGTATAAATCCAACTACAAGATAAATTTGTTGCATTTTACATAACAGACTTTTTGACTCTGGATGAATGAACATTATGTCTTTTTGTTTAAGGCAGTTGCCACATGATAATGCCTTAATTCCAGACCTCCAAGGCATAAAGTGTTAATGCTTTATGTGTTTTGAGTTATGTAGCTAATCACAGAAATTACAGAAAATATCCATTTCTAAAAAATGCTGCTGACCCAAGTGGAGAAAATCGAGCACTTCTTTCTCTCTGAAGCTCTTATTTGCACTTTTATGTGTCTCACTGTGGCTAAAGCCATGCCCCAGTAAGGAGTCTTTGAACAGAATTGAATCATTTTTATTCTTTGACTGTTTTTTCGGTACTCAGTAACTTCACTTCATCACACTGTTTTCTACGTTTGAATGTACCAGATTTATTAGGTCAGTTCGCCACGTCAACAGTGCTGTGTAAATGTGTAATATAAAGTACAGTATTGTGTGAGGTGTTCTTGAAATACCACGTCTCTCTCTTAAAAAGCCAAGTAGAAAAGTGCCACAGAAACCTTAAACAGTTGGATTCTGTCGTTGTGTTGCTGTTCTGAATGTGAGCGTTTATTTGTATTTACTCCTTTACCCTCAAAGTGGCTGTTATCAACACTGTGAAACATCAGTAGGATTTTTACAAATCTAATAGCTTCTGTTGTTTTTTATTTATAATAAATAAAATAAGCACCGAAGCTGAAAACTTACACTTATGGTTTACTGGGAGCTGGATGTTTGAAGTTATCTATCTATCTATCTATATAAATGTTGTGCAAAAATTGCATTATTCTAGACTTTTTTTAGTGTTTTTTGTCATTAAATAGCATCAAATCTAGGATAACAAATAGCAATCAGTGTTAAATTGTTCTTTGACATACTTGAACTTAATGTCAAGGCTAATTATTGTAAATATGACATTAATACTGCAATCAATGTTTTCATTCACACCTGATAATAACTATTCATGACTGGAGGTTTGGTGGTCTGCAGGTGTGTGATCAGATCCATGAACAATAATCAATATTTCTGACATACTGTATTACATTCAATTATGTGCAAACAATGGTAAAAATGGAGATGTTTAGCATGAACAACATCACCAACCTCTCTTTATTGTCAGCCATAGTCACTCACATATGCATTCAATCAACCAGTAGGCTACTGACTACAAGGTACACTGGCTGTACACAACATGTTCGGACATTCACACTGGTTATTTCAGTGAGACGTCTCTAAAGGACACGCACTCACAGGGATGTCAGCCCAGGATATATTCACAGACTTACCTCGACCAGGGAGGGCAGGAACCCCTTAAAGTATCAGAGAAAAAAGCTTAAGGCTTCCAACCACATGTACTTCTGGGGGACTGATGTGGAAACTCACCACACTGGTTGTGTAGCAGTCCCACGGGCTCCTTTCACCTGTTTTACTGAATTAAAGCCTTTGTCATTTAATGTATTCATAAAAAAGAACAAAAGTTGAATAAAATCCAAGTATATTTTTTGTTCACAAATCCAGTGAAGGAAATTGGATGTTAGATTTCTGTAAGGTTCCTGCACAAACAGTGCAGTAATGTGTGAAATTAAAGCCAGCAGCAGCTCACAGCCATTATTCATACAAACTAAAGCCAGCAATTCAGTTTAGTGTCAGCTTTTTAAGAAACCTTAAAATATTCCACATCTTTCATTTTTAAAGCTAGCAATGCAGTTTAGTGTCAACTTTTCATTGTATTGCATATTGCATTCACACCTGCAATGTCTTCTACCTTCTCTACTTCCATTTAGCTGATTCAGTTTCAGGATCCTGGTGCTGTTCACACTGTCAAGTCTTCCTGGGAAGACTCTGTATGTATTATGACTGCATCAGGTCAGCAGACATTTGAAATAATCAGGTGATTTGTAATGTTATATTAGGTTAGAGAGAAATAACAGGATGTTACTACAGCACCTCCACCTGGGAGGCTTCAATATGTCTGTGTGACAGTATGTAGTTGCTCTCTTTGTCCTGATTCCTCTCACTGACTTGTCACTGAGCTCCAGCAGATGGCATTGTAGTTGCAAGAATGACAGTGAATCTGATGAAGTCCAGCAGTAAAAGCTGTTCTCCGTCCAGTATATAAAAAAAGGACTATACTGTAATTGTGTGTTTGCGCAGGTCCACGACAGCGAGGATAGTACACGGAAATGTGTCCATAAAATAAAGTAAAAACTAGAAAGAAGAGATCAGTCTTGATGGTATATTAATGGTTAAAATAAAAAATAATTGCTCAATTAAAAAAAATGTAATTACATAATGCAGTTAATTTGTGCAACGACCCCCTTTTTTTTTAAGGTTATCTCGACATTTTGCACCAATAGCCTGCTGCACGTGGTTACACATTGTTCCAAAGGTTTTTGTTGGAAACAGAAATTCTCAAAGAATAATCAGGACGAGCTGCACATGTTTTTATTTTTTTATTTTTGGGGGAAAAAAATGCACTTTTCACGGAGGGTTCCGCCCAGAAACTCCAGTGGCCGAATTTTCTAGTGTTTCATACGAGGACAAGCTCCTGAGCGTCTCTCCTCTGCTCACATGTCCACAGTGTGAGTGGACAGCAGCCAGTGTTTGCAGGCTGCGTGTGTCGGTGTATCTGATAAAGCTTTGGTTGGGTGTTTCTCTTTAATTCTGCGGCATCTCTCTCGCTGTATGCGGGCCTGCTGCTGTGGAGAGGAGGGCGGGCCGTGAACACAATGAGCAGATTTCGGACAGTAAACTAACTGATGTCATGCGACAATGTACGGAGCGCGGACTTTGGGGGGATTTCAGTGCGCAGCTCGCATAACTTGGTTTGCATTGATTGAATTTGGGGGGAATGGCGTGCAGAGCTTCAAGTTGAACATGTAGGCCTGGTCTGCTGTCTGAAGACTGACCTCGGGTAAACCCTCACAGGCTCCGGGGGGGGGGACTTTGGAGATATTCTGCAGAGGTGTTTTTGCGCAGCACGGAAACTCAACGCTAAGGGGATGATCTCCCAATCAGCTGATAAGAAGTGAAACTACGATTATTAAGGGACACATAGGCAGCCACTGTGTGTGTATAGCGGTGCAAGATGATGTCACTGATAGATCTGGACGATGATCAGCGATGGGTGCCCACTCATGTGAATGTCACCGTCCTCCGCGCAAGAGGACTGCGAACCAAGGGCAAGCACGGCAGCCGCTACCTCTACACCATCATCCAGGTGGGGAAGGAGAAATACACCACCGGGCTGGTGGAGAAGGCGGAGGTGCCCGAGTGGAGCGAGGAGTGCTGCTTCGAGCTGCTCCCGGGGATCCTGGAGGACGGTGGCCGGGGCAACTACCCCCCGGGGAGCGGGGACCTGGTCCTCACCGTCATGCACCGGGTGCTCATCGGACTGGACGTGTTTCTCGGTCAAGCTGTCATCCCTCTCGATAGGATATTTCAGGACGGGATGTGTCCTCGAGATGAGTACGTTGTGTTTGAATTTTGATGATAGCCTGCACGACAAGCCGTGTGGTTTGTCATTGTACTGCTCATATGTAGCCTACAAGTGATGTGGCATGTTCTTGTGTCACTCTAGGATAGAGACAGTGGTGAATAAAGTATTCAGACCTCCTTTTATAAACTCACCTACCTCAGAGTGGAAATGCTCTGTTGCAAGTCTTCATCATCCAAAATCCTATTTAAAAGACACTTAAAGTACCAAAAAGTTCTCATTATTAACATAATGGCCCATTTCAGAATAGTAGCCTATATATATATATATTATATCACTGCATTATAATTGCCTTCAACCATACTGCCAGCTTGATCCATAATAATAAATCCTAATTTATTAGCTGATTTATATTTTGTATTAATAACCTGTGCCTGCAAAGTAACTAGTAATCACATTAGTTACCTAATGTCAAAGGAATGTAGTGGAATAAAAAGTATTGGCTTCCAAAATGTAGTGTATATACTGTATAATGTAGTGGAGTATAAGGATAAAGTAGCATAAAAAGTACAGAACTTAAATGAGTAAATGTGCTTACATTGAAAGGGTGAGGTTATTTAGTCAACTTTACAGAATGACTCGCCACTTTTCATGTAGTTCTTCATTCAAATGATGTAAGTCATTCAGTAGGCTATTATTGTCTCCACCCACCTGCTCTGGCAGTCTCCTCATACTGATTATCATCCACATGTTTACACAATCCATCACACTACAGCTGATGTCACTGAGAGGATAGTAGATCGGAAGTTCATCAGAGAAATCACATCAACTACTAAAGCCTGTACCCTCGATACATTCTGGCCCTCTAGACTGATATCCTTTACCAGGCTACTTTGCCAGCAGTTCCCACAATGCACTGCAATCAAGAAAATTAGATCCAATGGGGAATAAGTGATGATTTTAGGCTGAAAGCCTCTCTCTTTATGCACAATGCACATCCTCCATTTCAATTATACAGCACTAAATGTGTCCTCAAATGCTTACTATACCTCTTATAGTATATGAGTTCTAGCTGGCATTGAGCAAAATATAGATTTTAATGTATTGGCTGGTGGGCGCTATATCCCTCTTCAGTACTTCTTGCACCTAAATTATTAATAAACAACAGTGATCAGGAAATGGGACTCCACAATGTTACTTTATCTAGCTGTGTTTGACCTGCAGAACTTGGTATCATTGCACAAATAAAAATAGAACAAGGTTGTGAGGAGGAGTGACAGATTGTCCATTACATAGATTTGAAAAATTCAGATTTGAAGTGGAAATATGAAAAGTTTTGGTCATGCAGTGATATACTGTATGTCATGAACCAGTTCATCAAATGACTCTGTGTCATCATGGTCTTCATGGAGAATGAACTCTGGCCGGCCTATCTACGCTTGTTAAGAATGAAAAGCAGCACTAATTCAATCAAAAGACTAT